ATATATATATTTTAAACCTCAATAGGTAGGTTAAGTGCATACCTGCTTGCATGTAGAGATTCACAATTTATTGCCCGGCGTGTTGTTGCTGTTATGGTGCAAACTTAAAGCAACCAGCCTAAATTAAAATTATATCATAAATTGATCAAAAGTGACAGAAATGTATTTGAAATTTCTGTTTCAAATAAATGCTGTTCTTTTGACATTTCTATTAATCAAATAATCCTAAAAAAAATTGTCATCCCACAAAAATATTAAGCAGCAAATCTGTTTTCTATATTAATGATAATAATAGTAAATGCTTCTTGAGCAGCAAATCAGCATGATTTTTGAAGGATCATGTGACACTGAAGACTGGAGTAATTTTTATCACAGGAATAAATTACATTTTGAAATATATTAAAATAGAAAACAGTTATTTTAAATTGCAAAAATATTTCAGAATATTTCTATATTTACTGTATTTTAATAAAATAAATGCAACCTTGGTGAGCAAGGTTGAGCAACTTTTTAAAAAATATTTAAACAATCTTATCAACCCCAAACTTTTGAATGTGTACAGTAATGATTTTATGATAATCAGAAGCTCTACTGAAGCTCTGAAATCACATTTGAGTCCATATTCAAATTCAAATGCATTAAAGATTGACACCAGTTGTTCAGTGCATTAACCCAATATGATTCTAAATAGACAAAATAAAGAATGAGATTTGAGATATTTTCAGTGAATAACACCTTATTTTTGGCATGTTCCTCACATAACGGAATTTTCACACTGGTACATTGTTTCTTTGAAACATGCAATGAAAACACAAATGGACATATATTGTAGTAAAGTACAGTACGTTTCTAATTCAGTTTGATTGATTTTAATTTTCTAATGTTGAGTTTGATACTGAATCTGATTCCAGTCAAAAGTATGATTCACCTGTCAGACTGGAAAGACATCTTTAAATTAGCACTTTTCTATGGCTTTATATCTTTATACAGTTACTGTAGGGTACAGACATACATTCCAGGATTGAGATAGGCAAACTGGGTTACTGCTTCACCTGTGGAGAGGCTAAACTTCAGAGAGAGATTATTCAGGGTGGTACATGTCTAACAACTGTCATTGACCATTTTTCAAAGCTCAGTTGCTAGTCGAAATGCACTAGCGTGTGTTTCAGTGTTAATAAAAGTATATTGCCCATGACTCACACACACACACACACACACACACACATACTGTATAGTCTCTCTCCTTCTGATAAACTCTCATAGCCTTTGCTTGCCTATATGAACTTTATTTATTTATTTATTTGAATAGAGCTATATTGGATATAGTTGGGTAGACTAAACACTCGCATACTACTCAATAGCTCAACAGTTATTCCTACCTAAACTGCAAGTTAAAGGGGTCATATGATGCAATTTCAATTTGTCCTTTCTCTTTGGAGTGTTACAAGCTCTTGGTGCATAAAGAAGATCTGTAAAGTTGCAAAGACTAAAGTCTCAAATCCAAAGAGATATTCTTTATAAAAGTTCAGAGTCAGCCACACCTACCTAAAACGGCTCGTTCTAACACACCCCCACATGTCTACGTCACGATGTGGGAAGATTTGCATAACGCCGCCCAAATGTTCACGCAAAGAAAGAAGGCATAACTTCTATTCTCGCTGTAGTATTGTTGCCGCCGCCACCATGTCGTGAAGGCGCTGTGTGATTCGTTGTGAAAGCGAAACTACTTTGTTTGGCCTTCCAAAAGAGGACAATATCCGCTTCATCATGCCTAGAGCTGATCCATGCTGGTTGCTGAGGAAATACAACAACTTTGCACTGTGGATCGCAGGATCGGCTTTCACCGTGGA